ATTGTGTGGGAGGAAAGGAGAAGGACTGGAAAGAGCAAGTAGCGTATGTTTCTTGTCAATTTAAAAGACTTACATTGTTTCCAGGACTGATGTGTTTATGATATTCTGCCTGGTTCTCTATGCTTATTTCCAACAATTTTTCAAAATGCTATTTTTGCCTACAGCATGTCTTCAGATAGGATATGTTTACAACTCAGTGAATAACAAATGGCAGGATTAGAAGGGAATGAGAAAGAGTGGAATGGAAGCTCTCACTTGGTGCTTCTAGCTTAGGGACAAAAAATTAATTGGCAATTATACAAAATGCCTTGCAAAGAGCATTTGTCAACATCCGCTAATCCAGAGAGCCACTCATCTTCTTGGATAGTTGAAACCACATTGCAATAATGCTCAAGTGTTGCAATGTTTCCAAATACAGTTGAAAGGGATGAATTCGGGTAAGCATCTCACAGGTTCAGGTGACAGAGTTTTTCACACAGTAGATTTATATGATGCTATGAAAAGTCAGCAAAATGCTATTTTATTTAATATTATTGTATTTTTAATGCCATGAAGGGAAATAACTTTAATTAATTTTCAATATCAGATACTAAAATGTTCTGACGACCATTTGCTTCTTTTGGACAAATGGGATGAGAAAAGAATAGAAAGTTTTCAAAATAATACAATTGTATACTTGGAAGAGTCTTGGTTTGGTAGAATTCCATAAAGTAATATTTCAACTTCAGTTAATGACATTTAATCTGTTTAATATTGCTACTTTTGAAAGGAGAATTACCACTAGCAAACCTCAATTAGGTTATAAGGCAGCGAGTGTAGCAAGTAATTAACTATGCTTCAAATTGGCACAGATTCCATGAATTCATTATGAATTATCCTGGTTTAAAATGGGCAGGGGGGGCAGCATTTGCTATGCCATATATTGGTGTTAGGAAGACTGTTGTTGCTGAACATCCAGTTTCTCTTCAGTGACCACGTTAGCCATGAATCGTAATTCATTTGGACAGCCACTACCCTACCATACAGTATTTATAATGCTCTTTGGGACCAGAATTTTCATTGCCGAGCAATGTAGTCATAAATTTTGATGTCACATGATTGCACTGCTTAGCAACAGTAGTTCTGGTAATCCCTGTTTATCATTAAGCAAATCACTGAAACCATTAAATGAGGACTTCATGTGATTGCAACTTCCAACTTCCTGCATTCTTTCCCATGGACTTTGTTGTGGAAATTGGCAGGGAATGTTGCAAATTGTAGTTACATGACTACAGGACACTGTGATGATTAGAAATCTGAACTGGTTACCAAGCACTAGGAACATGATCATGGGACCACAGGGTGCTGTGATGGCCCAAACTTTGAGGATCAGTTGCAAGTTTGAACAGTCAATGAACAAGTAATCATTAACTGAAGACCACCTGTAAATGGTTAGTGTAACAACTGTGACACTAATAACTGCTGCCCATTTACAATATTTAAAAATAACCTTCCTACCAATAGATTTGCTAACTTCTCTGTATTTCTCTCTTTTAGCACTGGTTGGCTGGGTCCTCTAAGCATCTTTGGCTATTTTATCATTGGGACTATTGTTAACAAGTTCCTAATGAGTCCCATTATTTCAAAATTGGTGCACCAGGAAAAGCTTGAAGGTGATTTCAGGTGAATATATTGAGCAGATCTTATTAATTGGTTCACATCTAAAATGACTTGTGATGCTGTTTGCATATATATTAATATGTTGAACAGTTCTTGAAATAAGACTGTTTGGAGGTGAGGTACCAATTCAAGTGGCTAAGAAATAGAAGAGAGGTCAGAGATTTTATTAATATTTTCATGCCTCTTGCTAAGATGCTGCACAATCCTTGTACCTATCTCTGTCCTTCTGACAGGATCTGTAACATTATGTTGTAGGATAATTATGAAGGGGGCTTTTCTGAAATTCTGATTGCTTCATCTAAGAAATTGCCACACACTGAAGAAAATGTTTTCCTTCTTTCCAACAGGTTTAAGCATATGCAACTGCGGGTGAATGCTGAATCTGTTGCTTTCTACAGGTAAGATATCTTTCCCTTTTTTTAGTATCTCCTTTCAGTCTTCAAAAGTATGTATATTTCATTTTTATGGATAATACATACTCCATATACAGTAAATGGAATTTCATGTACTTGTCGTTTTCCCCAAAATTATTTTCTTCATGTCTCTTCATGCTGTTGACTTATTTTCTCCCCTTTTTAAAAATTTAAGCTCCTGTTTCTTAAGTTATACATGCATGCATAGATAACCATCAATATATTCTTTTTTGGGTGAGCAGTATTGTACCAAATGCAGGAAAAGGATAAAAAAATAGTAAATCAAGGTAACTAAAGCCACCTGGTAAGGAAAGGAAAAATACATCTAAAATTAGTTTATACCAACTCCATATCTTTTTATATCTTTCTGTCCTTGCTTCCACCATACAGTATATGAATTCATGTATTATTTCTACTTCTTTTTCTTTTTGAAGATCGTATCAATTTCATCCAACCATGACTGACCAGGTTATTTATCGATCAATAACTTTCAGACAAATTTTAACAAAAACTGTTGAATTTCCTTTTCCTCCATTTGGTAGTCATCAGCTCCCTGTCTTGACTTAATTAGGGTTTCTAATTATAGGCAGTTTTCTAAATATATTCAGTCCAACTATTATCCTTTCAAAACTCAGTCACGAAAGATCTACAGTGAACTAGTCTGAAAATGTGTAGTGCTTCCTGTCATTTGTTTTGAATTTTTTCCTCAAACAACAGAAACAAATTTTATTATGTCTCCTCTTGCATCACAGCAAATTAATTCAGGACACAATGGAGAATCAAGGTTTTTCCTTGTTCAATTTCAGTTACTCAATTCATATGGCAGGCTGAAGTTTTAAAAGAAAAAAGTGCTTCTGCATAAGAAGTATATGTAAATTACACTAAAGGGACATTTTGGTGGAAGGACAAGGAAAAGGACTGCAGATCAAAATAGGAACAGACATGGCCCATCTGGCTTTCTGCTTTTTACCACATGAGGTCACTAGTGGCAATGTTTCAATGTGGTTTGGGTATAAAGGCTCCCTGGGGTTGATGGAAGCTGAAACTGAAATAGTTTAGTGATACCCTAAATTACAGCAACAAACAGGACTCCTTTTTATGGCGTTGCCTGCTTGCTGGCTGGCTGGGGAATTCTAAGTCCACATATATTAAAATTGCCATACTGCCGTTAACAGCTTTGTGAACTCAGTTCATGAAAATATATGGAGAGTTGCCCTATGTTTTTTCTAATGCTACATTTGGTTTCCTGACCCACAAAACTGAGTTTGCAGAAAGGACCACTATACCTGACTGATTATGTCCTTTTGTTTTGTTGTTTTGTAGAGCTGGGGAAGTTGAACACATGCGAACCAACTACAAGCTTCAAAATCTTTTAAAGACACAAAGGGAACTGATGGGAAAGGAACTATGGCTATACAGTAAGGAGAAGCATTTTGTCATCTTAACTTGAACATTGATTAAGATAGGGAGAAACTTTAAATCTTGCATGTGGGAAATATTTTGAGGACAAAATATTTCAAACAGTAAAGTACGGTAGTCAAGCAGCAGCTAACTCTGAAACAGAAGATGAATTCCATGGCTGTCCAGATGCAAATGGAAATATTTGGATTCTGTACTTCTGTTCCTGAAAGGTGACAGACGTTAGGGTGAGTGTCAAAAACAGGATACAGCTTTAACATTTTTGAAGAAAGTAATCTGCACTTGGGTTTTTATGGGATTTTCTGTCTCTGTTAAAAGGACTTTCCCAGTGTTTTGCTATTCAGAATAATGGACAGATGTTTCTGTACTGTTGACATATATTTTCCTAAATATCAGAACCTAGTTTGGATCAGGGATATTTCTTCCAGGCTAAAACAAGCACAATGTCAAACATATATGTAATGATGTATGAGCATTGCTATAAGTGGGTCAAACCGATCTGTGTTCATAGGTTGCCTTATCAAAGTCTAATTAGCCTTTGACTATACACCCTCCTGAGTCATTCTGTTTCTTCAACAACTGCAAATACGCTACATGATTTGTGCAAAATGTAACATGCTATTTTAAAAAGCACAGTAAGGACTGGAGACATTGTAAGAATGACATTGAACCAAAAATATTTGCTTTTGCCCACACTGCTAAAGCAGTCTTGTTGATAATAGAAACATTCCCTACTTTGCAAATATAAAGGTCATTTTCAATCTAGTTTCAGCTGAAGTGCAGCTGATGAGTGTCTAAATGTAGTGCTCTACAGCAGCAGCTGCCAACTTTTTGGGCAGCAGGAACCGGTTCCATGGAGAGATTTTTCCGTGGACCGGAGGGGGTGTGGTTTCACATGCTGCCTGCATCCCATGGATGTGGCATCACTTGTTTGTGCAGCTCAGTTTCTGACATGCCACTGCCTGGTGCCAGTCCATGGACCAGGGCTGAGGACCCCTGCTCTACAATAAAGTTTGTCCCCATGTGAAGAAAAAAAAATTATATCTTTCTGCACTTGAGCCTAGTATGGCAAGATCTGGATCCTATTACCTGTTCAAAAGCTCCTTTCTACTGACTATATCATGTTGATATGTTTTTGTTCCAGTTGGGATCAATACCTTTGACTATTTGGGCAGCATCCTGAGCTACGTGATGATTGCCATTCCTATATTTAGTGGAGTATACAATGATCTGAATCCCACAGAACTGAGCTCCTTAGTTAGCAAGGTGAGTTTTTGCAATTTTTCTAGGGTGAAAGATCCTGCTTTTTTATTAATTAAAGGTTTGCTCTCAGTTTGTATTCTATAGCTTGGCCTGGGGTGGTCTTAGAAGTTTTTTGGTTGACTGTTTACTGTTGCCTTATTTGGCAATTCCTTGATTGGGGTATTGTTTACTTGATTGTTGATCTGATGTTTCTTAACATCAGGGTAATGTAATTAGAGTTGCCTTTCTCTTGTGGAGTATTTCCCCATCTTGACCTAGCTCTATTCTCATGTAATTTTGCTTTGCAGAATGCCTTTGTCTCCATTTACTTGATTCACTGTTTCAGTCTCCTAATTGATCTCTCTACCACATTGTCCGACGTAGCTGGCTACACGCACAGGTATGTTGTTCTCTGGGTTTGAGAAGCAATCAGATAGCATGGAAGCTTCTGGATCTCTCAAGTTCTGAAGGACAAAGGAATCCACCACTGTTTGTTCCAGAAGTCTATAATTTTTATCAGTTCAAGGGCTACACCAGGGTTTGAGGACCTCATTTCAAAGATGGACAGGACCAGATCTCCTTTTGGAATGAGAGTTTAATAGTTTGAAGAGATGAAATGAGTCTCTTAAATATCTGCAAGGCTGATTTTGCCACATAGGCTTTCCTATAAAAAGGGGGGGGAGGGCAGAGTTTTCACTCTTCTCACTTTGAGGCCACAAAAGTGAGCCTGTCATAGAATCTCTTCTAAGATGCATTTTTAAAGAGAAAAAACATAACAAGATAACCTCTTTCTTTCCTCTTCAGACCTAAAATGCTGACCATCTAATTCAGTGGTACCCAACCTTTTGGGCACCAGGAACCAGTTCTGTGAAGAGAGGTTTTTCCACAGACAGGAGGGGATGTGGTTTTGTGTGCACCCCATGGATGGGGCTTTGCTTGTTTGTGCAGCCCAGTTTCTGGCATGCCGCAGCCTGTTGCCGGTCCATGGACTAGGGGTTGGGGATCCCTGATCTAATTAGAAGTGGTAGAGATACAGCAGAGTAAAGAACCTTAATAACTTTTAAAGTGGTTAATTTCAACTGGCACTTCTCTTAGGCAACAGGGCATTCATATCTGAAGAGCATTTCAGGTGGACCCTGAAACTCTACAAACATTAACCACTCTGATATATCTAAACATATATAACCTCTTCCTCTTTTCAGTAAATATTTTCTTAACCTTTAGGGAAATTGTATAATGTAAGCATTTTTTTCATCTCCGTCCCTAATCACTGGCTTTTGTAGAATTGGGGAGTTGCAGGAAGTATTGCTGAACCTTTCCAAGAAGCAAAGTCATAGTGAATCACAAGACAAATGGGACTTCGACAGGTATGTAGCTACAGGATGTGGGATGCGAATTTGGTGTTTATGCCATGGTGCTCCTTGGCTGTTTGGGTTATCATACAAATTATAGCTAAATATCTTGGGCATATCTGTGGAAGGATATTCCAGTGTATCCTTCTGTGATGGTTTGTCAGGGAAATAATTCTGGAAAATTCTAAGGATAATATAGGACAGTGGTGGCGAACCTATGGCACGGGTGCCAGAGGCGGCACTCAGAGCCCTCTCTGTGGGCACGCGCACCGTCGCCCCAGTACTTCAGCTGGGTTTTATAAAACCTTTTCGCTTTAGGCTTCTGTCGCCGTGTGCAAAAAAAAAAAAAAGGTTCAATCAGTCAATTTCAACTTCTCGTGGGAAAAAAAAGATCTTGCAAAGTTGGAATTGATTGATTGAACTTTTTAGTCCCACCCAGTCTGCCATTACCACTGCAGCCACGCCCACCCAATGGACCACGCCCACCAAATGGGCCACACCCGCCCGGCACTCGACGATGCATAAGTGGATTTTGGGTTGCAGTTTGGGCACTCAGTCTCTAAAAGGTTCGCCATCACTGATATAGGAAGTCAGGGTTGTAGGAAGCTGCAGTATACCAGATCAGACTGTAAGAACCTAGTATCAAACTGAGGCCTTATTTCACCTGCTATAGGGTTCTTTTTATGAATTTGAGATGACAGAGATACCTACTTCATGCCAGATGCCTAAAAATGCTTGGTGGCTCCCAATCATGTTTCTGGGTCAGAAATAAACTTGGGGGGGGAAGGGGGGTTGGATAATTAGTGGTAATGGAGAGAGGGAAGTCTTTTTTCTATCCCCCTTTCTTTTAACTGTAGGAATGCTTGTAAGAATAGAAAGAGGAGATATGGCACCCCATTTGTGGAATTTCTCCCCTAAGAGACTTGATTGGTATCCATACTGGCATCATTTCAGCACCACGTGAAATCCATTCTATTTTTCTAGACATTTAGACTGGCAATTAATTTTATTTTAATTCATATTGGGGTTGGTTTGTTTTTTGAATGACCTAATTTACTGCATATGAAGTTTTTGTTTGACCTTTTATTCAGTAACTATCTTTATTCAAATTGTAATTCTTTTAGTGTTTTATCATTAACCATCAGAGACCTGAGCTATCGGGCAGTTTAAACATTTAAAATAATAAATAAATAAATCAGGGCACACACGAACATGCCAAGTGGAACCTGAGAGCTGTAGCAGTTGGTGCTGACAAGAATTGGGACAAGAATTATAGGGACTGAAAAAGAGATGGGATAGCATACTTTGACCTTTATAAAGAAGCTGCCAGGCCCTGATCTAATTCTCAAAGGTTTCTTAGGCCTCTCAATGGGTTGGGGGAACATATGGGCACTTGAGGACTTTTATGAATTCCTATACTAAGAAGTTTTAAAAGCTCTGCAGATTTCAGCAGCAACAGCAGACACCCAAAATGGCTGACTGTTGAGAAGAGTCTCTATAATAAAATATTTGGAGTGGGGCTGTCCTTGTTTCTTTGGTGCTACACAAGATTGTACCATTAAAGTACTAAAAGATACATAGACTGCACTCTCTTTGTATGAACCATGCTCATACTATCTGTTCTTAACTTGTCTTTCCTCTCTTTTTATGGGGGCTTGATGTGTTCAGCATTTCTAAAGAGAAGAGGACCTCAAAAGACACTGCTTTTGTTCTGGAGCATGTTTCCCTTGCTGCTCCTTCCAGGAACCTGCTTGTCAAGGACCTAAACCTGAGAGTTACACAAGGGAACAATCTCCTGATTACTGGGAATACAGGCACAGGAAAGACATCTTTGTTGCGTATTCTCGGAGGCCTGTGGAAGTGCAAGCAGGGTGAGCGCCCCAATGGTCCAGAAATGGTGCATTGGTACATTAAGGCCTTTCATCAAGTTGATCCTTCACAACCTGGCTTATGGGATAAAAATTGAATTTATTAGTCCCAACCTTCCTCAACTTAAGGGTGCCAAGGTTGTTTATAGGGAGTGCAGATTTCACTGAATCAGGAAGACCATTCAGATATTGCCCACGTCATGAATTTAATGGAGTCCTTGATGCTCTCTGATCTTGGTTGTTTGCTTACAGACATTTCTTTACCCAGGTAGGTAATATCATCAGTGCTAGTGAGTGTGGGATTTGCTCCCTGTGTACATAGAGTAGCTTATCCTTCCAACGTTGGTAAGGGTGTCATTTTCTCCTTGATAGCTCCTTGATTAGGGTGTTGTTTTCTGCTTGTTATCTACTTATCTGAGTGTAGACTACTGGAAAAGACGTATTCTAGTCTTTTTGTTTCTCCCTTAGCTTTTTTATTGCTTTTTTGATTAGTGTGTAAATGTGGTTTATATCTATGTGTCTGTTGTGATGGCTGATCTGTGATGGCTGATGTTTTAGATTATTAATATTGTTTTTTGTGTGTGTATTGAAAGAGTGTTTTGATTTATTTCATTTATAAAATTTGCTTATTTTTCATTATGAATGCAGTAATCTCAAAAGGGGAAAAACTAAACAGGCTTGAAGGCACAGGTCTTCCACATCTTAAAACCAAAAATAGAACCGAACAACAAAAAACACAACAGTACACATTTTGTTAAAATCCTGAGTGAACCAATATATTTCCAGTTGACATTGAAAGTTTACAATGCTTTGTGTCAGCTGAAGCAGAAGTATTGCACATCCAGAGATCCTATATCAAAAATTCCCTTCTTAAATTGCCACATGATGAAGCCCTGACAAATGTGACAAAATAAAGATCCATTTGCTGCAGCTGTTTAAAAAACAGGCAAATACATAAGATGTAGGGTAGGTCTTTTGATTAAATGATTTTGATTATTGACAATTGGAAATGTGGGCTCATAGCTTTGCATTTTTTTTACTTTTTCTGCTGGATTTGTGCAGGGGAAGTCCACATGCTGACTTCCTTTGGCCCCCATGGAGTGGTGATCATACCTCAGCGTCCTTTTTTCACAGATGGAACACTGCGGGAACAGGTGAGTCATGTTAGCATCAGGTTGTCAGAGTGGATAGATTTCCTGCATGCTCCAGAATTACTTTATACTCAATGCATAGTTTTAGGAACCCTGCTTGATTTACTTACTAAAGGTTCCTTACTAAAGGGAGGGGAATTGCTGCTTATCTCTGGTTCCTTTGTGTTTGTGAAGTGTCTCATTTGGAATTTGTGTCTGCTTTATTTGATTTAGATTATATACCCTCTAAAGGAAATCTGTCCAGATTCTGGTGAGTGGGAATTGCATTGGAGACTACCACCATGTATATCTTTTCTTAATTATGTATGCCTTCATTGCATGACCTAGCAGTACATATAGGTAGACTAATTCTTTGTAGCTTTACTACTTCTTTTGCGAAACATAATTGACAGGATGTTTATTAAAAGGTATTTAATATGTTTAGGGCTAAGAGGTGTCCCTCCATATGCATGTTTGGCCTTATGCTGTATAGCCAAAGGAAACTTTCAATGGATTATATGTGAATTGTGGTCAGATCTTGATCAAACAAGTCAGCACAAATTTATTCCATGGATATGCAGCTTGATGCCCTTCAAAATGTTCTGAATGATTGATTATGTGCTGTTTATAATGGTTAGAGTTGATGGAAGTCTCATTCCAAATCATCTGCAGGGCTAGTATTTGTTACATATGTAGGTATCTGTTGTAGATATTCTGAACATATCGTTTTAATTTAATTTTTAAAAATTTAATATTTTTTAAATGTGTGAAGGAACAGTCTAAACCAGTGTTTCTCAACCTTGACAATTTTAAGGCATGTGGACTTCAACTCCCAGAATTCCACAGCCAGCAATGCTGGCTGTGGAATTCTGGGAGTTGAAGTCCACATGCCTTAAAATTGTCAAGGTTGAGAAACACTGGTAAACTTTATAGTCTAAAATAAACTATAGAGAAGACAATTGAATTTGGGCAGAAAGAGCAAAATTGATAAAGTACATATAAACTTCTAAACTGAGCTGCAATTGGAAAGAAAGATTAAGAGGTAAAATGAAAGGCCTTCTATAGAATAGAATAGAATAGAATAGAATAGAATAGAATAGAATAGAATAGAATAGAATAGAATAGAATAGAATAGAATAGAATCCTTTATTGATCAAGCGTGATTGGACACACAAGGAATTTGACTCCAGTTGCATAGCTCTCATGTACATACAAGCAATAAGTGATATAGCATGGTCATAGTCATCATAAAAATACATTCATCATAAATCATAAGATACAACACTTAGTGATAGTCATAGGTTACTAAAATAAGCAATCAACATAAATCATACTAGGATACTAAAGAAAACAATATAAATCGTAAGATACAAGCAACTAAGTTATAGTCACAAGTAGATTAGGAGATAAATATTAGCAAAGATGAGAAGAAGAATAGTAATACAGCCTTGCTATATAGTTTGACAGTGTTGTGGGAATTAGTTGTTTAGCAGAGTGATGGCATGGGGGGAAAATTGTCCTTGTGTCTAGTTGTTTTGGCATGCAATTATTTTGAGGGTAGAAGTTGAAACAGTTTACATCCAGGATGTGAGGGGTCTGTAGATATTTTCACAGCCCTCTTTCTGGCTCGTGTAGTATACAGGTCTTCAGTGGAAGGCAGGCTACTTGCAATTATTTTTTCTGCAGTCCTAACTATCCATTGCAGTCTGAGTCTGTCTTGTTTGGTTGCAGTGCCAAACCAGACAGTTGTAGAGGTGCAGATGACAGACTCAATAATTCCTCTGTAGAACTGTATTAAGAGAAATAAATTTAATTTGTGTGTGTGGTGCACATGTTGGGCATAAAGCCAGAAAAGAAGTTTTTATCTGAAGAAGTTTGGATAAAAAGGATGATGATAGAGCCCTCTTACCAAAATAATATATTGTGAGTCTTAGTGAATGGCCTCTGGGCAATTTGACTCCCCCTGAGTCACTTATTCACCCTTTCTTGATCCTCCCTCATTTTATTGGGTATCTCTGATATGTTTTTGTTAACATATGTGTGTAACCGCGTGGTTTTATTTGGCAACTAAATGTGGGATGTGACCTCACTGAAAACCCTTTCACCCTGAGGTAATATGAGGTGATGTGAAAGTTCTGTTGGTAGCCAACCATCTGACATTATTCACTGTTGTATGCAGGATATGATTGTCGATTATAAATCCAAAGAGTGGACTAGCATGTTTATAAAAGCCATGAGAATAATCAAACAGTTCTGATTTTATGATGATAGATAACAACTTCTAGGTTCTCAGCAAATTAAGTTGGATTTATCAGTGAAAGGGTTATTTAAAATCAATCTCTAAAGTCCTTGGTGAAAGGTCATCTAAATAAAAATGATGTTTGATTAATAAACAGCTGTACTTTACTTTCAGATAGTTTGGAAAGTCCTCTTAATGTAAATCTAATAAAAGCCGGAGGTTACTTAATGGGACTGGAATTATTTTGCTTGGCTTCTGTTTCGATAACATCTAGCTCTCATGTCTATTTTGAGTTGTTCCTTAAATACTGGGATCTCTCTGATTCGGGGAAGTGCATTTTTTTTCTGGGCTGGAGCCAAACATAGAATATCAGGATCTACATTTTAAAAAGTAATAGCTGGAACCAGGACAGGAAAATAGAATTCGCTTACATTTAAATTTGATTGAAAACAAATATAGTAAATTTTATTATTTTTATGTTATGCATTTAATCATTTTCTTCATTAATAACTTTTGGGAGTTCTCAGGAGGCTGCTCCAAAGCATTTGAGAGCTTCAGACTTGTACACCTTGGCCTTAATTCATAATGGAGTAATCAGATTTTTCTCAATCTTGCATTCACCAGATGTGTTGGGGTTGCAAATTCTACAATTCCCCGGTTGTATGTTCTTACTTAATTATAGGAAAGCCAGTGCTGGAAACTGATATGCTAGAAGATAAGAGAAATAAAAAAGGAATTTGTAGACCAATAATATGATGCCAGTTCATAGGATCATATCTATTCCAGCTCCAAAAACTTTGCTCAAGTATTTGCTCAAGCAATACTTGTTCTGTGTCAGAAATCATGATATCACTCTACTTTTCCTAAGCATCTTTCCTATGGATGAAAGAATCAGTCCATTCAATTCTGAGCAACATTTCCAAATTTTAAATTATTTCCAAATGGAGTTGGCTTCTGGTTCAGAAGATAACTACAGGAAATTAAAATCCATAATAATTAACAGCTCGTAGAATCATTCTGTTGTCACCAGACACCAGAACAGATATTCACATTATTATGCCCTTTGAATTGTATTGTTACTTTTTCAGATCTTCTAAAAATATACTCACTCTGGTTTCTTAAACTTTGGGACATGATCTCCAAGACATCATGAACAAATTTAAGGGGGCTGCACATTTTTTAGCCTTGTGCATTCAGGCACTCTTACAAGCAGAGTAGGTATATACTTTAATAGGTTTCCAGCTACACCTGATCCAATCGCTATGCTCGACCTTTTCAGTCCACTCCACATCTTCCCCAACTCCAGATAAGCAAGTAGATCCCCTGGGCCTTGTTTGCAGCTTTTCCCGCCAAGAAAGTTTTTAAGTTATCTTTGAAAAGTGTATCATGTTGATATCCCTGTCATAAGCACAAAGTCAAGCAAGTGCCCCCACCCCACTTGGTTGTTGGGTATTCCCACTTGTGGTAGATATGAGTCTTATGGGGATCCTTATTCGTGTTGAAGAAGAGCTGGGAGGAGGAAAAAAGGACAATAATCTTTGGTTCCTGCCTTCAGAGGGGTATGAATAGAAATTAGAGGGCAGATGGACTATGCTACAACAACCCAGGCTGGGGTTCACATCAGAGGACTGGTGATGGAGCAATCCTGTGCTTATTTCACTTTTGCAACCAGTTGCAAAGACTTTGAAATGTGGCCAGAGGCAGGGGAGGTAGGGGAGAAATAAAACTTATCTTTCTTGGGAACAGAACCTTCCTATTGAAAAATGTCTGTCTACTTAGCTACAGACAGACTGGGATTCCTGGGAGTTGCAATTCAGCCACCTCTGGAAGATCACAAATTATAGATTAAATGTTATTAAAAAGTGGGGTGTATTTTTCCTTTTCTACCCTAATTTCAATAAGTCATTAGCTTTATTGTGTGAATGTCACACAAATTCATGTCTTATTTTGGGTGTCACAGAACTGCAAAGTTTGTTTAGCGTGCTTCTGCCATTAATTTCTTGTACCACAGGGTCTATAGATGATGACAGGATACTCAGGTTCCTGGAGCTGGCTGGACTGGTGAGTTACCTAGGACATAAAAGATATAAATTGCTTCATACCCCAGTTTTTGGAAGATAATGGATGAAAACGTTCACCAAGTTTAAGCCAATAATTAACCCTTAAAGAGAAGAACTATGAATTTCAGCATGCTGGGTTTATTTGGAGAACACCAAGCATCAGCAGTTAAATTTATGACTGATATCAAAGCTGAACCTTGGCTCACTCAATAAACCATACCAGTATAATAAATTCTAGCAACAACCTTCATGCTTTACAGCAAAGGCATGAGGCCAGAGAGTAGATAGGAGTTGGCCGTGGGCTTATACTAACAAAACAAGGTGATTCGGTGACGATAGGCCTGACAAGGCATTTGGATGATAAGGATGGACCAAGTTTTGGGTTTTAACCTGCTGCTGTTTTCTGTTCTTGATTCAGTCAGACTTGTTAGTGAGAACAGGAGGTTTGGACCAGCCTGTGGACTGGAACTGGTAAGGCTGTTTTCTGTTTACAGTGAAATGATGTTCATGGTGTGAGTAGATCCAAAGCTGCTAAAGACTGTAATAGTGGTGCTTATTGCAGATTGTTCTGCTTCTTATCTTTGATGCAGGTTTGATATTCTTTCACCAGGTGAGATGCAAAGGCTGTCTTTTGCTCGCTTGTTCTACTTACAACCCCAGTATGCAGGTAAGAAAGTGGAAGATAATAGGGTTAATTCTCTTGTTTAAGGATATGGGAAG